CTGTATTTATACTCCCATGTAGTGTCAGATTTATTCCCCTTAATTCTTGGACTTAAATAAGTACGAGCGCTGAGTCTTTTACATAACCACTCGTGCCTCTATTTTTGCCTCTGCTCGTATCTGTTGCATCTCGTGTCTCTTTGTCAGTTAGAACTCTTTGACCAGTCTATATGTCATGACACGTTATATTTACACCGCTTTAATATGTAAACTCAATTTTTCTCAATACACATACCTGCCATCACAATGAGAAAAGAATTTTCATGGAATTATATGTGGTTGGTGCATGTGCTCTTTTGAATATTTTGTGTCAATTATGTAGCATTTGCTGTTATGGAATTGCTTTCACTTTAATTATGGACCAATTATTGTCTGATTCTATCTTTTGACCCCTTCTGTAACTTCTGTGTTAATTTTGATTTGGGATGGACCTATAGCCAGTAGTAAGTAGTAAGTCACCACTGTAAAAGAAAAAAAGTATAATTTATGATGTGTTATAGCCCCTGCTACTTATGCTCTTACAACATATAAGATCTGCGTCGTAAATAAGGTTCGCTGGTTGTTACTGTTATATGATTTCTTAATTACCTAGAATAGAGTAATATTCCAATTTGCTTTCAATGCTAAATGTTGATTTGACAGTTTGTACCAACGTATTTAACTTGCTTGAGATGTTGATTGAGACATCCAATTATAAGTTCTTCACGCACTTTTGAAAAATTTTGAAAGATAGAAATTATATATATTTTCAAAATAGTTATTGGGCCTTAACTTGTGTTAAGCCCAAATCAATCCAGTTTTTACGGGGGATTTGCATCTATACCCGCTTTTTGTGTCACGTTTTAACTTGTGTCCGTTTTGCAAAAAATATTGCAAGCGTACCCGCTTTTCGCATAACTTCAGCATACGTGGCTGAAGTAATAAAGGCAATCACGCAAAACTTCAGCATTCTAGTAAAGGGGCCTGAAGTAGCAAGTATGTTGAACCAAGTGTGCTGAAGTTTTTGTGTGTAATTAGTGAACTTAAGCATAGTAGCTGAAGGTTTGTTCTCTATTTGCATTGCTGAAGTTTTTGTTTTTGTAATTGGCGAACTTCAGCTCTAGAGCTGAAGTTTTTATTTTGTAACTGGCGAACTTCAGCTTTTTGTTTTTGTAATTGTCGTACTTCAAAGCTGAAGTTTTCGTTTTGTAACTGTCGAACTTCAGCTCTAGAGCTGGAATTATTTAGTTCATTTGTAAAAACTTCAGCACTATATAAGCAATGGACATTTTATTTCTTATTGCATACAACTATATAAGTAATTTGGTGTTTCCTTGTCATGGGCAAAATGCTAAATTTTTGGTGAATTGCTTTCACTTCAGCCTGAAGTTAAGGGTGAAAATGACATAGTGCCAAACAATGACCACTTGCAGATCCACTCGTATTTCTTGACTGGAATACAGTAGTGTAAGAAAATTTTCATCTTATCATTGAACCAGATATGTCTACACAAAATTTTAAATAACTGAAGTTTCATAGCAGCACCAACAGCAGCAGAAGAAAGAAGAAGAAAACGAAGGAGGAGAAGGAGGAGGAGAAATGGGGCTGAAGTTATTTAAAAAATAGATACAAGTTAAAAGTTTTTTAAAAAATGAGTATAGATTAAATGGGGACGACCAAATAAGGCGCTACGTTCTTATGTTCGTGGTGTTGTTTGAAAGATGCCCAGGATGTTACCAAATATTTCATAATTATAACTATGCCACTATTAACAACATAAACGCCAATTGGCATGTTCAAGTTATTACTTACACTATTTATTTACTCTTGAAATTCTATTCAATAAGTGTCTATCTATGCCTCATTAGTCTTGGGTCGTTGCCCTCAATTGGAGTAATCTCTCGATTTGGATTATATTTGCACCCCTCAAGTAATATATGTTCGCACTATATCCTATCAGGGTAGCTGACACTTCACTTGCTCTAACATATTCTTTACCTAATGTAACTAGGTATAGCGTTTATGTGCTAGCTTCTATGTCCTAACTCCTTATTGGAGGGCTCTAAATAGCCTTAGGAGGGTATATTACAAAAACAAACACACAAGTGGAGTGTGTGGTGTGCATATCTGTTTGAGATTGGAAAAGTGAATTTCTTTCATAAAATGAAAATTTTTTAAGTATATTTCGTGCTCCATATCTTGGAAACCCTCGGTGCCTACTAGGACATGCATGACTTCTTTAGGATTATGTTTCTTGAAGTGGTTCGTGATATGATACAGTGATGTACAATCTTTTTCAAGAATATCATACGGATTTTTCCCTACTTCAGGTATGTTAAGGATATCCCTTCTTTCTTTTGGCATGATCCATACGATACAAACGAAACGAGCAAATGCACAACTTCCTTAAATGACTCCATTCATAAAAGTGTTAGAGGTGTCTATGTTCTTGAATTCCCATGTGTCCCATTATTACATCTTCTATCAAAAAATACATAAGTTAATAAAGTATGTTTCATGATATTAATCAGAGGCATAACGGTCTTATGATGTACCAAGAGATTTTATTAACGTATTTCATATGCATTTCATGCATTTATACATGCACATTGACCCATGATCAGATGGCGTTATATATATATATGTATATATATATATATATATATATATATATATGTATATATATATATATATATATATGGTATATGGGAAAGGTTATGGCGTTATATACGCACCACCACCTGATCAACTGGTATACATTGGTGATTTGCCCACAGTGGCCGAGATGATATGATAGGGTGCCCTCAGAGGCGTGATGATGTTATGGCTTTATATATGTGTGTGTGTGTATATATATATATACACACACATACANTGTATATGGGATATGGGAAAGGTTATGGCGTTATATACGCAACACCACCTGATCAACTGGTATACGATGATGATATTGCCCACAATGACTGAAATGATATGATGGAATGCCCTCAAAGGCTAGATGATGTTATGTACGTATAGACCTATGAATTACATGACATTCATACGCATATGCATGACACTATAGTATTTCATGATTTACAGAGTTATCTAGACTTACAGGTTGAGTCCTTTACTCCATGGTTCTTCCATATCCTTATTTAATGTTGACTTACTGTTATGTTTCTGTTGCGCCCTACATACTCGATACATTATTTATACTGACGTCCTTTTGTTGGGGACGCTGCATTCATACCTGCAGGTATAGATAATCAGTTTGACGAGCCCTCATAGTAGACAAGATTGGCATTCAGCGAAAGATCGGTAAGACTCCACCTCATTCGGAGTGCACCCGAGTCTATGAGTCATTATATCAGAGAATTCAGTGAAGGATCGGTAAGATTCCACCTCATTCGGACTGCAGCCGAGTCTATGAGTCATTATGTCAGAGATTTGCTACAGACTTATGGGTAGGCCGGTACCCTGTCCCATTTGATGTCAGATAAATCTTAGAGGCTTTGTAGATGGAGTTTTATTTTGTACAGTATGTCAGAGACCTTGACGGCCCATATATATTTATGCTCTAAGAAAAATAGTTCAATAATACAGAGCTGCCCACTTATAGTTGAACATCACGTTTGTGGTCATGTCGGCCCACGATATTCATAAGGAAAAAAAAGAGTTGCAGCGTGGTTCGCTCGGGCCAGCACGACACCGAGTGCCAGCCACGCCTTCCCAGATTTGGGGCATGACAAAATGGTATCAGAGCGGGTCGTGTCCTAGGAAGTCTACAAATCCGTGCCTAGTAGAGTCTCACTTATGGGTGTGTTGCGTGCCACATTTATAATTGAGAGGCTATAGGGCATTTAGGAAATATTATTCTTCTTTTGTTTCTAGATCATGCCATAGAGCTAAGTCGTAAGAAGTTGGAATAAGGTTTACCGAATTTTGTATGCACTAGAGGTACTATCACAATAGAGCTTTAAGGCATAGATGTGATTTCTACTTATGTGGAAGGGAGGTTGTGAAAGAAACAGAAGGTACGATGCAAGATTGAAAGGTAAGTAAGGTAATGGTGAAGAAGATACGAGAAACTCGAGTACAAAAGATTGTGAATAGTCAAGACTTCAGATATAGTTTGGGTTTTAAGTTTAATTTATAGAGGAGGCCCTAGTGAAAAGTTTGCAAATCTCGAGGAGTTAACATTCGATGACGAATGTTCTAAAGGGGGGAAGGATGTTACATCCCGTACTTTAACGTTAGGATTCGTCGAAGTAATAACATATAAGTTGGAAGGGATTAAGGTTATACATGAAAATATGGATGTAAGACCCTGTAAGTTTGAAGAATTTCGGAACTACTATATATTGGATTGATATGTATTTTCTTTGAAGTAAATCATTTTCGGTAAAAGTTGATAGATACGATTTTATATGGATGTGATAAGTTTTAAATTAAATACATGATATATGGGAGTTTATAAATGAGGTTTTATTATAAGAGTAGACAATATTTTCTCAAAGACATTCATTAGTTACGTTGTTTTTGCTTAAGAGGAAGACCATATAGTCAATATTTCTAGGCATGCACATAGATCCTACGTATCATACTATATTATAAATGTGAACACCTTAAGTCAAAGTTAATTTACAAATTTACCCATCAAAGGCTGAGTGACGATTTTACGCTTAAATTAAAAAAATATTCAAACAATATTTATGTACAAAGAGGTAAATATACATTCCAATGAAAATAAAAATTTAAATTAGAATGGGGACCCATTAAGCTGACAAACTTTTAATAAGGCCTTTGGACTTCTTCAAAATTGTCTATGCAAACTTGAGTATTTTATTTATTATTCTACATTCAAAATTGTATAGCAATTATATTTGAAAAACTATTGCTGCTCAATTCATTACCGATGACCGTGAGCCTATATCTATTATATAAATATAAGTATTTCGTGGTAACTGACATTCAAGTTACTAGAGTCTCTTCTGCTTCCTACCGTAAAAGCACTAAATAATATAAATGTATCTGGCACCTTTGGAGTTTGTGAAACTTTTAGTATTCCTAATTAATTAATTAATTGTGCCACTTATTACATTATGAACTCAATTCATGAAATTTTTGAGAAGAGAAAATACAAATCGAAATACAAATGGTCACAAAGCTCTCCCTGAATATATTGCTATTTTTGTTGCAGTTGCGTCTCCGTCCTCTTGATAGAGAGACATCAAAGCTCTCCCTGAATATATTGTTACTTTTGTTGCGGTTGCGTCTTCGTCCTTTTGATAGAGAGACATCAGATGATTCCAGTATAATGCATCAAGGAGCTGAAAATTGTGTATCATCAAAGACATGCGCAGAGATAATAATATGTTATAAGCTATGGGCTCAAAGAAGTTTTGATATTTGTGCTTGCTAAGTGAGGAAATATTTTTCAGTTCTTTTTTTTTTTAAAGAATAAGTGCACAACCAGTGTTTATAAGAGTAATGTGGGGTTTTTAGATGGGAATGAATTCAGAGCTCAGGTTTTATGTTTGTTATCAAAATTCTTTAAGTTTTACTCGACGAAAATTCTTTTAAAATTTGGAATAATTTGTGTCACGCCCTTTTTTCATTCCAAACCTCACTAACCCTCTTAAAAAATAATAAAAGGATTATGTGAAGCTCGAAAGGGTTTTTCAATTTTGAAAGTGACAAAAGATAGTGTTCAAAAGGATTAACTCAGAGTCGCCACTTGACATTTGATATCGGTGTGTCAGGTCACCGTTTTTTTAGAAAATATTTTTCCTTTAAAACACTTGGACTCAGAACTAAGTCCGCACCAGAGGTTTGGGTAAGGGGGTTCATTTAACTCGGGGAGAAGGTATTAGGCACTCCCCAAGTCCCGTAACTAGTATGGTTGCATACTTGTTCTAGTCGGCTTGTAAAATATTCTAGTTGAGGTAAAATCACAGAAAAGAAAAATAAACACAAAAGAGGCTCGAGGTCGTCCCCGCCTAAATGATAGAAAATTAAAAGAAGAAAAACTAAAGTTCTAAATTATCATATGCTATTTCTTCTACGATGTTCGCCATGACCTCCAATTACATAGTACTACGGGGCATTCCCAGAATAAAATATATACAAATCCTTCAGGGCATTCCCCGGATAAATTTAACTAAAGGAACGACCTCTCGCCTCAAAACTAACAAAAATCCTAAGGCTTGCCTACCCAAATGTTGTCGGCCTAAGCATGCTCCTAGCGGAAGATGTAATAAAAGTAACAAAATAAAACTAAAAAAAATAGAAATTAATTTCATGCTCATTCCCTTTTGAGTTTTTTCTTTCATGCATTTGTCCAGACAACCCAACTTCCCGCAGCCCGTGCGTGAACCAAACATTCATCCAATCAACCAAAACAAGCACATACAAATAGACGTCTAAGGCAGTAAGCATTCAGCGTTGAAAAAGTAATAAAAATAGTAAAAGCCTATCCCAATATAATGTTCCAATACATACAGAAAGAAGAGGACAACGCGAGTTAAGTCATATACGAACAGTTTAGGAGTTAGTATGCCATTTTCCTAGATATTGTTACTACACGAACTTTCAAAAACCATTTAAGCTAATTTGAACAATTCTAGGAGTGAACATGGATGAAATGTAATGCAAATAATGACCAGGCTTCTGCCAAATACTTAAACTATTCTAAGAGGACAAAAGTAAACCCAGAACACAACTAGCTTAGACAACATTCAGAACACATGTTTCACTATATATCAGCACAGAGAACGGGTCTACAAACAAGAACAAGCAACTCATCTCGTGAGGAAATTGATTTTTGATTTTTCTTTGGCGTCAAGGATCGATTATGTCCCAAACTGTCCGAGACGACAAGATAATCCAGTGACTCACTTAACATATGAGGGGAATAGCATTTAGAGACAGTAGACAAAACAAAGAGTTGCACTTTTAGATCATTATCCAGGAAAGATAGAGTTGTCAATTCAATCCCAAGGGAAATCAAGTTGGTTTAAGTTCAAAGGCGAATCCGCTAAATTTCAACAAAACGTTAATTATTTAGTCATGAATTCATACTGAGCTAATAGAGATTAGTAACATTGAAGCATAGGCGAACAAAACCAACCATCAACTGGTCGAGCAGACAAATCAGCTAGAATTTAAGCAAGAAGGCCAATTGAATACACTGCCTATTTATGTAAACTCGACGCAATCGAGTACCAAATCAGCGATTACAAAGTTAAGTCATATTGCAGTTCAATGTGTCCAAACTAAACATGTTCGAAACCATAAACATTTAAACACAGAAGTAAAGCAGAACGCAAGTAACAGAGGGGGATCAAATCTAACTAAATTCAAACGTGACAGGGGATACAGAAATGAACCTGGATATTCAGAATTTCAATTAATTCCAGAAGCGAGGACAAGAAAGTTCAGCGGCGAGGAACTGAAGTGAATCGCAAACAAGAACTTTGAATAGGAACCCGAACGGCAAATGAACTTCAACTCCGACGAGCTTCAACCAACCTCAATCAAGGTCCATATTTGAAGCGAAATCCAAAAAAATGAATTAAGATTTTAATATGTTTCTGATTTTTCGAAATGAAACAAAACTTAGAATAAAAATCAAACTTAAACTTCTTTTTTTTTCGTTTTTCTGGAATGCAAAGAAAACACTAAAAAAATCTCAAGACTCAAAGAACCCTAGACCTTTTCTCCGCCCTTTTTCTTTTTTTCTCCTCCCTTTTTTTGTCCGAAAATCCTCCAATATATAAATCTCTCTCGAAGCTTCTCCTTCTTCAGCAAGAAATCATGTGCGGCCCCCAACAAGATCAGAAAATCACATTTTTAACAAAAATTAGAAAATGGCAGTCTTGGATCAAAATTTAATCCAACGGCTCCCATTTTCCAACATTTATTTCAAGGACTAGGATTTTTTGTTTAAACAAAAGAAATAAAAGAAGAAATCCGCGTGAATCAGATTGAAATGATGAGATTTGGTACGAAAGGGATGACATGGAAGAAGGAGAAGATGAGGGGAGGGGACCATGGGACTCGTTGAGTGAATTCACCGGAAAACCAGCGAGTTGGAGGCGAGCAGAAGGCTGGGAAAGGGGTGTGGTGCGGCTCCTTAGGTCTTGAAGATTAGGGCTAGGGTTTTTTTGGGGGGAGATAAGGTTCTTATATGGGGTATGGGGAATTAATTTGGACTGTTGGATTAAAAGGGGTTGGATGGCCAAGATTTAAAATCAAAAATAGGGTGGGTCGGGTGGACTGGGTGCGAGTCATTGGGGCTGCCAGATTTGGGCCTTTTCTTGTGTAAAATTGGGCCCAAAAATTTATACTTCTTCAATTTCTAAAAGTCCATTAAATAACCAACGNATATATATATAGTTTTTGTGCCTTAAAAATAGAATTAAAATCAGTAATAAAGTAATATCCTATAGAAATAAACCCAAATAAATATCCTAAAAAAATAAGTTAATATTTCTTTAAAAATACTACTTTTAAAATTTGTGCGGGTCAAAAATTACGTGCTTACAGCTGGCCCTCTTTGCTTGGAAACACAAAGAGTTTTCGGAGCAAAGAACAATAAGCAACGTAATTGATTTATGACCCGACGCTTATTCAAAAGAAAATAAAGATGGCTATAAAGATTGCGACCGAGCCCTGGTATTTGAGCTGCCTACATATCCTTGGCTATAAAGGAATCAGGCCACGTGTAGTTCGGAAGTGAGAAGAGCGATGGAGTATACCGAGGTGGAGAGCCGAGTGGAGTGCCGCTGAGGTTCCAGTCCGCGGTTCCTGCAATTACATCAAAAATAGAAGGAAAAATTACAGCAAAAGTAAAAGAAAAATACAAGATCCTATCTACTTCTTGTCGGAAATCTTCCTTGAATCTCTACTTGATCTTCAATATGCAACTAAAAAATGGACCCTGTTCTTCAGGCGGGCTCCTGATGCTTCTTGAATTTGTGAGTTGAAGTAACTCTAAAATTAATTCCCTCGTTCTCCAGGTGGGCGCCTGCCAATAACTTGACTTTGGTATAAAATGAGTTCCCTCGTTATCTAGGTGGGTGCCTGATTACCAAAACTTGAATTGTATTCCCTCGTTATCCAGGTGGGCGCCTGATTACCAAAACTTGAATTGTATTCCCTCGTTATCTAGGTGGGCGCCTGATTGCTAAAACTTGAAACTTTATTCCCTCATTATCGAGGTGGGCGCTTGATCGCTAAAACATGAAATTTATTCCCTCGTTATCCAGGTGGGTGCCTGATTGCTAAAACATGAAATGTATTCCCTCGTTATCCAGGTGGGCACCTGATTACCAAAACTTGAATTGTATTCCCTCGTTATCCAGGTGGGCACCTGATTGCTAAAACTTGAAACTGTATTCCCTCGTTATCCAGGTGGGCGCTTGATTGCTAAAACATGAAATGTATTCCCTCGTTATCTAGGTGGGCGCCTGATTGCTAAAACTTAAAACTGTATTCCTTCGTTATCCAGGTGGGCGCCTGATTGCTAAAACTTAAAACTGTATTCCTTCGTTATCCAGGTGGGTGCCTGATTGCCAACACTTGAAACTGTATTCCCTCGTTATCCAGGTGGGCGCCTGATTGCTAAAACTTAAAACTGTATTCCCTCGTTATCCAGGTGGGCACCAGATTGCTAAAACTTGAAATTGTATTCCCTTGTTATCCAGGTGGGAACCTGATTGCTAAAACTTGAAACTGTATTCCCTCGTTATCCAGGTGGGCGCATGATATTGCAACAAAACAGACAAAGCAAAAGAAATTTTTGTGCCCCAGTTTGGGATCTGGGCATATTTGTGAGTGTTAATCGGATCATGTTACCTACAGAGCTCTAAGAATTTAAAAGCTAAATCTCATTATCCAGGAGGGCCCTAAAAGCTTCAAATTAAATCTCATCTTAAGAGTGACAACTTTAAAGTTAAATTATATTTCCTAAAGGTAGAACTTACGCTAAAACTTAAAACTAAATCCCATTATCCAGGAGGGTCCTGAAAGCTTTAAAACTAAATCACATTATCCATGAGGGTCCTGAAAATTTAAAATTAAATCCCATTATCCAGGAGGGCCCTTAAAAATTTAAAATTAAATCCCATTATCCAGGAGGGTCCTGAAAACTTAAAACTAAATCCCATTATCCAGGCGGGTCCTGAACATTTAAAATTAAATCTCATTATCCAGGAGGGTCCTAAGAACTTAAAATTAAATCTCATTATCCAGGAGGGGCCTATAAACTTAAAATTAAATCCCATTATCCAGGAGGTTCCTGAAAACTTAAAATTAAGTCTCATTATCCAAGAGGGTCCTGAAAACTTAAAACTAAATCCCATTATCCAGGAGGCTCCTGAAAACTTAAAATTAAACTCCATTATCCAGGAGGGTCCTGAAAATACGAGAATGAACTTACCTGAACCATGCTCTCTTCTTGGAGGATTCTGAATCGAATTTCTTACCCCTGAGGGTCCCTGTGGATTAACAAATTTTCTTGCCCCTGTTTTAGACGAATAAAATTTTGTTAGTTTGAAAGCGTGGTGGTTAGTTTGTGGCATCATTGCTGAGTGTCTGCTTCCGCCACTGCCATGCTTCATTCTAATTAGTTGCTCTGGGCTAGCAAGGAGTTGTTTGACCTTTTGATTGGAACTGGACCACAAAACCTCTGCATGACCTGAATCCATCGCACTAACTTGTTGCATTGTGTTTTCATTTGAAAGTTGCTGAATCCTTGTATTTTCTCAAAATTCAAGATTCACTTGATTGCCTGAATCTCAGTTATCACCATACTGCTTATTCTAAATCAAGTCAATTGTGATGTGCCTGGCCAGACTCCGCTTTGTGCAATTTAGAAGCTGGTAGTAGGCTTTGAGATACTTTCCTGCTTGTTCAACAAGGGTTGACTCGAAAGAGACCCATAAAGATAGACTCAAAGAGCAAAGCGAAATGATTTTTGACAAAAGGAACAAAGAAAAATTTTGAACACAGATGACTATATGAAGAAGAATGAGAAAAAGAAGACTTATCTAAGGGAAGCAGCCAACTCCAATGATGTCACGACCCTAGTTCACCAACCATGAACATGTCATGACGGCACCTAGTCTCTGTGACTAGGTAAGCCTAACATTTGCGGAAACATAATAATTGCGAAAAATAGAATACCATATTTGAATATCTAAGAAGGAAATTGTACTGAATGTCGCTCGGCATATACAACTCAATATCTCAAGACTAAAACAATCCCAAAACCCGAAAACTCACGGGAAACACAGGCTAATAGAAATGAAATATACTGCTCTAACTCCAGAATGTCTACACAACCAAGGGAAGGGAAAATCATATACTAAGGCTGGAATAAGATAGAGACTCCTGGTTTGCGGATGTGGCAGATGTACCTCAAAGTCTCTGCTAGATGTCTCCGCCGCAATGATAGTGCGTACCTGGAGCTGCACATGAAAAACATGCGCAGAAGAGGCATGAGTACACCACAT